CTTTCTTTCTTTCTTTCTTTCTTTCTTTCTTTCTTTCTTTCTTTCTTTCTTTCTTTCCTTCTTTCTTTCTTTCTACTGGGAATCAAGTTCAGCACCTTGCGCTTGCCAGGCAGGCAATTATGCTGCTAAACTATCTTTCCCACCCTCTTTCTTTTTCTTTTTTATTCTTTCTCTTTTTTTCAGTTTATCATATAAAAGAAAATGTGCTATTTAACTTTGTTTTTAATTTCTTTTTATAATAGTGCATATATGCATATGCCACACAGTGATGACCTTCACCTTGGGGATTGGTACACACGGCTGCCACCTCTTCATCATCTCAGCTTCCCCTCGCCCTCCCATCTGCCCCTAGCCCCAGGTCCCCTTTCTACCTCTGTAAAGACTTCTTCCCTGTTTCTTACCCTCTATTTTTAAATTTACTGTCATTTTAATTATTTATATTTTGGAGTTTCCATATAAAAGACACCATGTGGTATTCACCCTTCTGTCTGATTTATTTCAGTTAGCACTATGGCCTCCTACAAGTAACTCAAATGAATGTACAGTATGGGTCCCGGTTCCATTCTTAGAACAACTTCTTCTTCTTCTTTTTTTTTTTTTTTTGGTGGTACCAGGGATTGAACTCAGGACCTTGTGCTTACCAGGACAGCACTTATTTCGCTGAGCTATCTCCTAGCCCATCTTTCTTTTTTTAAAAGACAGGGTCTCTCTATGCAATTCAGGCTGGTCTTAAATTCACTATGTAGCCCAGCCTGGTCTTGAACTTGCAGCGATTCTCCTGCCTCAGCCTCCTGAGAGGTGGGGTTGCAGGCATGTGCCATCACCCCCAGCACGGCTCCTCTCATGCCACTTACCGCCTCTTGACATTCTTCTGTGCTCTTATCTGGCACAGGTTTGGAGCCAGGCTACGTGGCCCCATGTCCGGTTCTACTCAGGACTGGCTGAGCAGTTTGGAGGGAAATTCTTTCACCTCGTTGGCCTCAGTTTTCTACTTTGTAAGGTGGAATAAATCATGACCCGATACCATATAGACTTTGCAAAGCCTAAATGTGTCCTACAGGTAAGGGGCCAAGAGTAGTGCGAAGGGGGCAGCTGCTGCAACCAGGGATTCGTCTCTGCCTGCTCCTCCCAGTCATGTAAGAGTCAGGAATGCAGGCCTGCTGCCTGCCTGTCTGTCTGTCTGTCTGTCTGTCTGTCTGTCTGTCTGTCTGCTGGTCCGTCTATCTGTTGACTGTGTATCCTCAGTGCGTAGCACTGAGTAGATCTCAGAAAACCCATTTCACACCCACAGCAGCTGAGAACCTCGGCCCCAGCTGATGAGTTCCCTAGGTCTGGGGACCTTGCCAAAGGGCCCTTCGCAGAAGGGTTCACGGTCTCCATCCCAGAAGCAGGGTCCCCCTCTGGCCCCTCGGCTCTTTCCAGCCCACTTCCTGCCCCCTTGAGCCTCACACTCACCCCAGAGGAGCAGCAGGATGAAGCCCCGCATCTTGCTGCGCTTCTGTAGTTCAAAGAAGGAAACCTTTCTTTAAAACTATTTTTGTGGGGTGAAAGGGAAAGGGTGGAGCTAGAGTTGCTCAACGCAACCAGAGAAGAAGACACAGCGGCCCTTTCTGCTGAGTTGCTGCTGCCGGAGAAGGCTTGCGGCAGCCCCCTAGTTTTTCCCTTTAAACTTGCTTATATACACTTTTCCCCTCTCCTTCCTCCGCCCGCCTCCCTCTTCTCTCTCCCTCTTCTCTCTCCCTCTTTCTCTCCCTGACAGCATCTGTCTCTCATTTTTCATCCCTTTCTTTTACTAGATTCCTATATTCTCTTCTTTTTCCCTTCTCTCTCTCTCTCTCTCTCTCTCTCTCTCTCTCTCTCTCTCTCTCTCTCCCCTTCTCCCTCTCTCCCTCTCTCTTTCTCTTTTCCTTTCTTTCAGTTGATCATATAAAAGAAGGCACATTCCTTCACTTTCCTAACAGCTCGTGTTGCGTAGAGGAACACGCACAGGCCCACCTCCTGGTGCTCTTGCAGCACACCTCCCTCGAGGCTCTCTTCCCAGCTCTGCCCATGAAAATAGGTATCAAACTGGGGCTGCCACGTGCCAGGCCAACAAGACTGCATTCTAGCAGTAGGGCAACGTGTAAGATTGGGATTTCCCTTTCCAGTTACACACAGAAAGGGGAACTGGCTTTCAGGGGAAACATCCACAGTCACATGGACCCAATGCTTGAGTCCAGGACCCCCGGCTGCAGGGTCGGGAACTCATCACCCTCCTCCACTCTTCAGGCCTGGCCACTGCCTCCTCGTGCAGGCACCCCAACCCCAGCCTAGCCCCTAACCCAACCCATGCACACACACACATACACACATATGCACATGCCCCCCCAAGCACACACCAACACACATGAACATGTATACACATGCACACACACTAACATGCACACACATGCCCCCCTCATCTTATAAACATCGAGGTTGAATAATATATCAGTTAAGGCCACTCAGACCCCCCCCCCAAGAGAGGGGTGCTAAGGAATTCTATCAGGCAACCCCAAGAAACCAACAGAGAAGGGAGGCTTGAGATCCAGAGGGGAGAGTGTAGAGCAGACGTGTAAACAAGGGAAACGTGCTGTTGGGGAGGGCAGCACGGAGCACAGTCCCCTGAGCTACCCCAGTGTAGGGAGTGGGACCACAGCCTGCGTTCTTCTACTGTCTGCGCCTGAGTGAGGGTTGCTCCCTGTGTCACCAGCTCTGGGACACTTTGGGCCTGGTCTCCAAGCAGATGGTTGGTTCCAGTTGATGTCACGAACAATAAGCGCAAGGTGGGTGTGGTGGTACTGTGGGAGGCCAAGGCAGGAGGAGGGCAAGGTTCGGCCTGCGCAAACTAGCAATTTAGCAAGACCCTGTTTCCAAAAACAACACAAGGGCTGGAGGTGTGGATTAGTGTAAAGTCCCCGAGTTCAAGGCCCCATGTTGCCAACACGAAGGTGAAGCTGATATGCGGGGACATGAGGTGCCCGGCCCGAGCACACTGATGAGCTGGGGTCACAAAGAGGATCCGGTTCTGACAGCACCCACTACAAGCTGCAGAAGAGACGCAAAGAGCAGGACTGAGGTCTTGGGAAGAAAAGGCCCACTGGTTTTGAATTCCTCCTTTTCCTCTGTGTAAGGGATATACCTGCACTGGCATCACTGCAGGGTCTGGGGGAGTTCACTGAGGACTTCCCTTTTCTGCTTGAAGGGCCCCATCTTGTAGAGCTGCAGATAAGAGCAGCATGAACACGCAGGGAGTTACCCCAAGAGGAAGACCCAGCGAGCTGCAGCGCGGGCTGCAGGAGCGTCGGAGGCGGCGCACACGGCCGGCCCAGATGCCCACAGCCCCCGCGTCCCAGTCCGCGTCCGCAGCTGTTGCGGGGGCTGCTGAGCGGTCAGATCTACCTCCGGGGGCTGACCTGAGTCAGGAGTTGGGGCCCACGATATGCGTGGGACGGAGCCTGGCCCCCAGGACATGATCCCTCCACGTGCTGGCTGTCAGGGTCAGAAGAACGGAGCTCGGACAGATGCGGGCTCCGGGCACAAATCTGCACGCTGTTCCCAAGGGGTCTCCAGAGGGACCTGGTTTCTTGTAGGATTAAAACTCATGCCTCCCCGCGCACATGGGGGAGGGAACAGAGCAGAGCTCTCAACACAAGGCCGAACAAGCTGAGGTAGAGCATGCGCTTGAGAAACAGCCTCAGCTCGGATCATCAGACATGCATGGGGCTCATCCTCCCAGCACTCCCTGGGGATTGGAAGAGGCAGGCTTATTCTCCTCAGCGTAAGACACACAAAGCTGAACCAGGAAGATAGCTCGGTGGCGCAGTGCCTACCTGGCAAGCGCAAGGTCCCGAGTTCGATTCCTGGTATTCTCCCTCAACATCCCCCCAAAACAAAACCCCAACAAGATACAAAAAGCTAGAGCTGGAAAATTTATCAGGGCTACAGAATGGCTTCCCAACATGGGAGAGCCCATGACGTCACAGGAAGCTGTGTATGGGGTAGGGGGCCTACCCGTGTGTCCAGAGCTGCAGGATTCTGTGCTCCCTGATACGCAGAAGGACCTGTTCTGATTTGGTGGCTCCTCAGACTTCACAGCTGACCAGCTATGATCCTCCTGCCTCAGCCTCCCGAGTGCTAGGATGGCAGGCACGCGCCACCACGCCTGACCTGCTTTTTTTTTTCCCCACCCCTGACCTGCTTTTTAATTGACAGGTAATATTGTGTATACTCTCGCTATACAGCACAACGTTTTCAACTAATTAACATCAATTACCTCACAGGCTTACAGTTTTATTTCTGAGGGTGCTGAGAAGCTGCAGTCTTGGTAATTTTCAAATAGGTTCTTCTAAGATGCTGGGAAGACAAATGCCGTCGAAGTCCGATAAGCGGATCTAATTCTGTTTATGCAGCACATACATAGCTACAAACTGCCGTCACCCCTGTTGTACAGTAGATCGCTTGGACTTATAGCTCCTGTTTAGCTGAAGTTGTTTCTGTGACACTAATTTAATTTTTTATTTTTAAAATTAATACATGCTTGCAGCACATAAGACTGCCGCTCCTTGAGTGGGGTTGGCATGCCTGGATTTAATACATCTCAGTCCCTTTGCCCCTCCCCTGCCCCTGTTTCTTCTGTCTCTAGATCCCCTTCCTCTGTAAGAAATATTTACCTCCCTACTTCCTGTTCTGTGCTTTTCATTCCGTGGAGGGCACCTGGCCCAGGAGTGGATGGTCAGGCTGTGCCAGGACCTGCGGGGTGGCGGCACCTAGATCTACGCACAACACACAGAGCGCGGCATCGTGAGCGAGCCCCGAGGAGCTGAGGCCGGGGAGCACGGCGGGGCTGGCCCTCGCCCTTCCCCTTGCCCTTGTACACTGCCCAGTACAGCTCCTTGTCCATACTGTTTCTCTTCTTTTCTTTCCTCTTTCACTGATACCTGAAATAGAAGCCTGAGCTCTCTGTGTTGAGAGCGGCTCCCTGGAGACTCCCTCCTGCTGGGCGCCAACCTTGATGACCCACTCGGGGCGCCTCTACAGGATAAACCACGCGCAATATTTAAGCCTGAGAGTCTGATTTATGGCTGAAACTTTGTATCCACGAACTAACACCCTCCCTCGTCTTCTTTTTTTAAAAAAATTATTTATTTATTTTTATTTATTGTGTGTGTGTGTGTGGCCAGCTCAGCCCACCAGGGGGCGGGCTGGCTGGCATGTGGTGCTGGGGGATCGAACTGCCGTCCCTGTTCTTTGCCAAGCCTTGTTTCAAGTAGGTGCTTTAGACCACTGAGCCATCTCTCCAGCCCCCTCCCTCGTCTTCTGACAACACTTCTGATCTGTGGATACTCCAAAAGCCCGAGTAGCCAGCAGGAGAACACACAGAGAGAACAAGGAGGATTTCTCCAGCGAGCATCAGCTCTGCGGGAGCCGCAGATGTACTGAATATCTCTTCCCTGCCCGCTCCTGGTCTCCCTCCATCTGTCCCATAAATCCTCATGGGCTGAGTTTGCCTATCTGTACCAGCGGCCAGGGACTTATTCTACCATTCTTGCCAAGGGTATCTGCAGGAGTCTGGACCCTAGAGGGAGAGAGATAGATCAACGTGGTGGCTTTAGCACACATCCACAGATTAGTCGACATTTCTCTCTTCTGCTGGGTCAGCCTAACCCCCCACTCCCCGAGTGTGGAACAAGTCAGTGACTTGCTTCTAATGAACACAGAAAGGAGGATGTGACATTGTATGGCAGTAGCGACGGGATCATAGGGCATTATGGCTACCTCCTTGCCCTCTGAAGCTGCCTGTCTCTTTTCCCACTGCTCTTCACAAAGACAAAGCCAGTCGCTATGCAGTGAGGACACTCAGGGCTCCGCAGACTACTGCGTCTTAGTTCATTCTGCAACAAAATACCCAACGCTGCGAACTTTAAGAAGAAGAGGTTTGGGCCGGCCAGATAGCTCAGCAGAGTAAAGAGCCTGCTTAGGCACAGCGCAGCGGCGGGGTTCGACCCTGGTGTGCCGCGCCCCCAGGACGCGCTGACATGGTGATGGAGATTGGGTGTGGTGGTGTCCCCGTAATCTCAGCACTTGGGAGGCTGAAAACAGGAGCATCACTACGAGTCTGATCTACGTAGTGAGACCCTGGAGACCCTGTACTAAATTAAAAAAAAAAAAAAAAAAAGATGAAGAGGTTTGTGCAGATCACAGGTCTGGAAATTTAAGAGCCTTTGCCCAGCTCTGATGGCAAGTGGAAGAGATCGATCACGCAGTGAGACAGGAGGCAAGAGGCCGGGGAGGGGCGCGGCTCGCTTTTTCAAAAATTCTTGAAAGAAGCCACACAAGTCCAGCATTAATCCCTCCCAAGATGGTGCTGCGGGACCCAATCACCTTTCGCTCGGCTTTCCCGCTTGAAAGTTCTGCCGCCTCTGCATCGCCCCTCTGGAGGCCGAGGCTCCAGCGCATGAACCTCTAGGGGACGCGCCCGACC